ATTTCTGAGAGAGAGAGAGAGAGATCGGCAGCGTGAGCAGGGGAGGGTCAGAGAGAGAGAATCCCAAATAGAATCCTAAACAGGCTCCAGGCTCTGAGCTGGCTGTCAGCACAGATCCTGACACAGGGCTCGAAGCCACAAACCATGCAATCATGACCTGAGCTGAAGTAGGACGCTTAACCGACTGAGCCACCCAGGCGCCCCTAAAAAAAATTTTTTTAAACATTTGTTCATTTTTGAGAGACAGAGACAGAGTGTGAGTGGGGGAGGGGCACAGAAAGAGGGAGATACAGAATCTGAAGCAGGCTCTGGGATCTGAGCTGTCAGCACAGAGCCTGATGCCGGGATTGAACTCACAGACCGCGAGATCATGACCTGAGCTGAAGTTAGATGCTCAACTGACTGAGCTGCCCAGACGCCCCTTGATAGTTTTATTTTAAGGTTAACCTTTGCAATCAAAGTCATCTTAGAACACTAGCCTCTTACAACTTCTGCAATCTTCTCATTTCTATTCTAGGCCAGACCTGCTTCTCTCAAAACATGGCCAGAAATTGGGATGCCTGGGGGGCTCAGTCGGTTGAGCGACTGACTCTTGATTTCCACTCAAGTCACGATCTCACAGTCATGAGATGAAGCCTGAAGTCAGGCTCCGTGGTGGACACTGCCAGTGCAGAGCTTAAGGTTCTCTCACTCCCTCTACCCCTCCCCTGCTTGCTCTCTCACTTTCTCTCTCTCTAAAATAAAAATTAGGGGCACCTCAGTGGCTCCATTGGTTAAGCTTTCGACTTTGACTCAGGTCATGATCTCGCAGTTTGTGGGTTCAAGCCCTGCATCGGGCTCTGTGCTGACAGCTCAGAGCCTGGAGCCTGCTTCGGATTCTGTGTCTCCCTCTGTTTCTGCCCCTCCCCTGCTCATACTCTCTCTTTCTCCCTCTCTCTCAAAAATAAATACTAAAAAAAATAAAAATTAATTAAAATTTTTTTTTAAAAAACCCACATGGCCAGAATGTTCCCTGCAGTCTCCTCTGGTCTTGATTCTACCTCTGACATCCAAGGCATGTGCCCTGAAACCAGGAGAAGAGAGGTGGGGAGGCTGACCTACACTTTGTTGCCAAGAAGTAGGTGCCAGTTCTATGTTGCTCCTTTGTCTTGTTCTGGAGGGTTCCAGGAGGTCCCAAATCCAACCTCTAACCCTTCTGTCCACAGGGGCTTTAGTCCTGGGACAGCTAACAGGTATCCCGAACTTAATGAGAATTCCTGATTCCCTGATCTCCTGCAACACCTGCTCCCACAGCCTCCCACCTCGGGTCCCTGCCGATTCCCTCATCCCCTTCCTCACCCCTGTACCAGGCATCACCATCTGTCTACTTGCCAAGGAGAACAAATCGAGTAGGGAAAAAAAAAATTTGTTTCATTAGAGAACACATCCTTCTGGGTTATCAGATTCTGGTCTTGTTTCCTGTCTTCTGGCATAAAATCTCTCCTTAGCTAAGGCCAGCAGTGTTTGTATTTGACAAACTGACCTTGATTCCTTCCTTTGCTGTCACACCCAATTTGTCAGCAAACTCTGCAGGCTCTACTTCCTCATACATCCCAAATGTATCCATTTCTTTCTCTCCCCACTGCGGCCCACGCTGCTCTAAGCCATTGGCATCACTTACCCGGACCTTGTTTGCCCTGACTTCTTTACTGTTTTTTCACCTGCTCCCCAGTCGCCCACAATTCCTTCACTGGAGTGTGGCCCTTTTAAGATACAAAGAGAGGGGCGCCTGGGTGGCTCAGTCGGTTGAGCGCCCTCACCCTCGGACTTAGGACTTCTGGCTCAGGTCATGATCTTGTGGTTCCTTAGTTTGAGCACCGCATCCGGCTCCATGCTGACAGCTCAGAGCCTGAAACCTGCTTGGGATTCTGTGTCTCCCTCTTTTTCTGACCTTCCCCGCTCATGCTGTCTCTCTCTCTCAAAAATAAATAAACATTAAAAAATAAAATAAAATAAAATGCAAAGAGAAAACAAATCTGGGAGAGGGTGGTGATCAGTGCGGGGGTATTGGTGGTGGTATTGATTGGGGAGGGGTTCGGGGGAGGTTTCTGGGAAGATGGTAACTCGGTATCCTGATAGGATTTTGAGTTACACAGATGTATGCAGTTGTTGAAATACATCTTTTTTTTTTTTTTTAAATGTTTTTTATTTATTTCTAGGAGAGAGAGAGAGACAGCATGAACAGGGGAGGGTCAGAGAGAGGGAGTCACAGACTCTGAAACAGGCTCCAGGCTCTGAGCTGGCAGGCTCGAACCCACGAACCGTGAGATCATGACCTAATGCATCTTAACTACACTTGAGATTTGGGCATTTCATTGTATGTAAATTTACCTGGGGGTGGGAGGAAATGCCCTGGAAACAAATTGAACTCTAGCAAAGGATGCATGCTGCTGTGTTTAGGAGTGAAGTGTTCTGGTATCTGCAACTGTCTGAAATGCATCAAAAAAATAATAATAATAATAATAATGAGATGGATTGCTGGGGCAAGATGAGTAGGTAAGCAACAGAGCAAGAATAGTAATGATGAGGGAGCATGAGGCAGGCTGAGGATAAAAGGGTAAAGCACAAACTAACAAGACCTCCCCCACCCCCACCCCCTCGTGGGATATGTGAGATATTCCTCAAGCACTCCTGACAGCCAAAGAACAGAGGAAAGGGCAGAACATACATGGCCTAACAGATAGAGATCACAGAACCAGAGTGTCCAACAGCTTACAAATATTTTCGTAAATTATAAGAAAAAGGTAATCTTATCAATAGTCTAATCTCCAGGAACTCCCTACCGTCTTAATGCTCTGCTAGACGGAAAAACAACCTTAGTTTGAGAATAGCAAGATCTCTGGGAACCTGGAATCTTCTTTAGCAAATGGAAATCGCTTTAAGAAACATCCCCTTGACTTTCTCTCCCCCAGCTCCATAATATAACCAGTCACTCTGCACAGCCCTGATGCAGCTCCTTCTGCCCACGAGTCCTGTCCCCATGCTTTAATAAAATTGCCTTTTTTTAAAAATAATTTTTTTATGTTTATTTATTTTTGAGACAGAGCGTGAGCAGGAGACACAGGATCCAAAGCAGGCTCCAGGCTCTGAGCTGTCAGCACAGAGCCCAACGTAGGGCTCAAACTCACATACTGTGAGATCATGACCTGCACTAAAGTCGAATGCTTAACCGACTGAGCCACCCAGGTGCCCCTAAAAGCACCTTTTTTTGTGCCAAAGACGTCTCAAGAATTCTTTCTTGGCCATTGGCTCCGGTCCCTCATCACTCCAAAACCCTATCAGTAAAATGTTTTTGGTGGAAGCTAGGTGGTGAATACGCAAGTGTCTACTGTATGCTTGAAAGTTTTCACAATTAAATGTTTAATGACAGTGCAAAGCAAACTAATGTTGCTGAGGCTAGAAACCCTTCACTTGCTTCTGTTTGCAGGGCAAATACAATGCAGACAAGTTTTCTAGGACCCCGAGTACCTCCCTGCTGATCTCATCTCCCACATGCAACCTTTGATGCAACAAATATTTATTGAGCACCTCCTATACGCCAGGCACTGCTCTAGACACTGGGGATACAGCTTTGAACCAAACAGCATGGACTTGACATTCTAACCCTCTTCCTCAAGGAGCTCATTCCCATGACCAACCCTTGAACAACCAAGGGGCGCCTGGGTGGCTCAGTTGGTTGAGTCTCTGACTTCAGCTCAGGTCCTGATCTCGCTGTTTGTGAGCTTGAGCCCCACATCGGGCTCTGTGCTGACAGCTCAGAGCCTGGAACCTGCTACAGATTCTGTATCTCCCTCTTTCTCAGCCCCTCCCCCATTTGTCCTCTGTCTCTCTCTCTCTTTCAAACATAAATAAAATATGGGGCGCCTGGGTGGCTTAGTCGGTTAAGCGTCCGACTTTCGCTTAGGTCATGATCTCGTGGTTCGTGAGTTCAAGCCCCGCATCGGGCTCTGTGCTGACTGCCAGCTCAGAGCCTGGAGCCTGTTTCGGTCTGTGACTCCCTCTCTCTCTGACCCTCTCCTGCTCACGCTGTCTCTCTCTCTCTCCTAGAAATAAATAAAAACATTTAAAAAATGTTCTTTAAAAACATAAATAAAATATAAAAAATATTTTTAAAAACCTTGAACAACCTGAAATTATCTCAATTTTCGACTTCATTTGCATGGCAATATAAGCTCAGGGAGGGCAGGGCCCTTCTCTCTTACTCATAGCTCCATCTCTGGGTCTAGAACAATCTTGTTTATAGTTGGACCTCAATAACTATCAGTTGAAAGTATATTAGCTAACATTTATTTGGTACTTGTTATATATGCACCTGGACCTCTTTGAAATTGTTTACACGTGAACCTATTTAATCCTTAAAACGATCCCCATTTTCCAAGAATTAACAGAGGCACATAGAAGCTAGGCTGTGAACTCAAGCACTCTGGCCTCAAATATGTTCCTCACGATTGTACGATGCTAAGTGAATGAATGATGGAGTCAGAATGGCCGGGAATTCAAGGCCCAGCCGCTTGTTCAGCTGTGTGGCCGGGCGCCAGCCGATTTATCTCCCTGGACCTCAGACGCCTCGTTGTTAAAGGTCAAGTCCTCCTCCTAGTTCACCGTGAAGATGCTGGAGGAAATTGGCTCAAAGACGCGCGCACGCACAGGCGAACTCACACCCCGACAGCCGCGAGGAGGGAGGTAGAAGCTGGGGAGGGTGGCACGGGGTCACGTCTTCAGGCACAGGGTGTGGCCTCCAGGAGGCAGCCAAAGTCTCTGGCTTCCAGGTTCCTCCACTGTGCCCACGCCCTACCTGGGGCCCAAGGCGCTGTCCCCGCCCTCCAGAACCTGGGTGCCCTGGTAGATATTCGTTCCAGAGCGTGTCTCCACACCCGGCGGCCGCAGTGGTCTGAAGACAGAAATCTGGCGGCGGGGAGAGAATCTGGTCTGTAGGTAGGGGGAGGGGCCGGCTGCCCCGCCCCCCCTCGGCCGGATTTCATCCGCGGGGAGCCGCCCGGCTCCCGCCCCCAACTGGCCCAGCCGCCCGGAGTGTCTGGGAACCTGGAGAAGGAGCCGAGCCGCCGAGATGGAGGTGGCCAGCACCGGGGCGCTGCTGCTGGTGCTGCTGCTGCTCTTGGTGCTGACGCTGGCGCTGCCCCGGACCCCGGGCCACCTGCCCCCGGGGCCCACGCCGCTGCCGCTGCTGGGGAACCTGCTGCAGCTCCGGCCTGGGGCGCTGTACTTGGGGCTCTTGCGGGTGAGGGGCTGCGGTGGCGGCGTCCTGGCTCGGGCGGGGGTCCGGGGCCAAGAGAGAGAGGGGGTCCCAGGAGGGAGAGAAAGCGGGGTGCCAGGGAAGGGAGGCCCTTGGGTATCCTAGACGAAGCAGACGAATGGTGCAAGGGCGAAGGGGTTATGGGTGTTCTGGGGTGGGGCAGGGCTCCGGAGCTGAGAAGGGGTGGAAGGGAGCGCTGGGCGAGAGGACCCTGGGGTGCGAGGCCAGGGCTCGGAGGAGGAGAGACCTCTGTCCCCAAAATCCTAGAAAGGATGAGAGCAGGGGATCAGGATCCAGTGGCTGGGGTACTGGAGCAGAGGGGCCCACAGAATCCTGGGAAGGTGCTAGAAGCAGGGGATTAAAGCCAGAGGCGCGAGAGCCCTCTAGCAGCAGAGAAGCTGATGAGGGGATGCCAGGGGGTGGGGTGCCTGTCCCAGGGGCCGAGGTAGCTAGGGAGGGACAGAAGAAAAGGGGAGCAGCCACTGGCGGGAAGGGGAGGCCTGGCTTCAGAGTTCCAGGTGTATGTCTGCAGAGATTAGGGGTGTGGGAGTTCTGTGGGTGCGGGGCTCAGCTAGGAGGGACCTGGAAGCCCCAGGACAGCAGGGAAGGAGGGCAGGAAAGAAGGCTGATACAGTTCCAACCTTTTGTAGGAGAGAGGAAGAGGCCAGAGGTTCCCCATTCAAAAGGAGTCTGGGGGACTCCAGGACATGGGGAGGGGGTGGGGGTCTTGGGGAAAGGTTTGGCAGGTGTCCAGCAGTATCTGCTCCAAAATTTGAGGGATTAGCAGTGATTGGAAAGGGCGGCTGGTTTGGGGGTAGGGGAAGAGCTGAGCAATCGAGAGAGGCCAGTCTCTGCTGCCCATGTTTGCAGCCATATGTCTGAGTTGGGAAGCAGGGTGGTCCTGGGTTGGCCCTGGGTCCGAACCTGGGGCTCTGTAGGAGGTAAGGGGTTGAGGACTCTTTAGGGAGGGGACCTGAGAGCCTGGTGCAGAAAAAGCACTGAGCCTCCCTAGGGGGCTATTTCCGCCTGGAGGGGAGGGGGTTCCTCACAGGTGCCTCATCCAGTGATGGGGCTGTGATGGGGACATCTAGACTGAAAGAGGCAATAGCCTGTCCCTCAGCACCTGCCCCTTCTCCCTCCCTCCCTGCCCCCAGCTGAGTAAGAAATATGGACCAGTGTTCACCGTGTACCTGGGTCCCTGGCGGCGTGTGGTGGTCCTCGTTGGGCACAAGGCTGTCCAGGAGGCCCTGGAAGGTCAGGCTGAGGAGTTCAGTGGGCGCGGGATGCTGGCGACGCTGGACGGGACTTTCGACGGCCACGGTGAGTCATGAGCAGGGCTGGAGACCGCTGGCTGTGGCTCCTTCCCTCGGAGCCTGCCCCCGCTTAACTGGTCTGACTCGTGCGTGACTTAGTGTCCCTGGGCCTGTATTTCCTTATCCGTAACATGGAGTGATCATAGCGTTTATTACAGAGGTCCCTGCTGAGGATTGAATGAGCCCTGGGCAAAATTGTAGTGATGTCCCAAGCCCCCAGGGCTGGGAGGGACCAAGAGAGCTTTCTAGGCACTGGGAACACTTACTGTTGTAGAAACGATTCTCTGCTAAGCCTGGAAGTATGAGCCTGGTGTTGGGGGCTGTCGGGACACACCAGTGACCCGGACAGAGCTTGTTGGCCACTGGGAAGAAACACCCAGGCAGTGACAGGCCAGAGAGGTCAGGCCTAGAATGGGGGAGGCTGAGGGGCCAGGGACCCGTTAGGGGAAACCCTGGGACTGCCAGAACCAGAGAAGGCACCTGACCCAGCCTGTTTGGTGGGAGAGGTCCAGGGAGCCTTGAAAGACCAGCCTCCTGAGAAGGGTGTTGCAAGCAGACACCAGAATGTAAAAAAGCACGGAGGTGATAGAAGAAGCATCCGTTCATTCATTAAATGGACCCATCTCCAGCATGCCTGGCCCTGGAGTGGGTACTGGGGACACAGAGGTGTCCGTGACAGATGTGGCATCCTGTCTTACCTTAGGAGAGGTGGGCTTGCCATGAGACTGGAGGAAGGGAACAGAATTCTGGAACCTGCTTCAGCTCTGGCAGAAGGACACAGGGGAACTGTACTGGCCTGGGTGTGGTGCGGGGAAGGGAGGGAGACTGAGAGGAATCAAGGAAGGCTTCTCAGAGGAGGGGACTATTCCAATGAGACCTGAAGGAGGAAGCGAGTTAGTTCAGTGGGGACGGACAGTGAGTGATCCAGGCAGAGGAAAGGCCAGGGGGGGAGGGGCGGCCTAGAGGAAGGGACCTTGATACCGCGGAAGGCCAGTTCAGTTGCAGCAGGGTGAGTAAGAAAGCTGGAGGAGTGGGTCGTGAGGGGCCTGAGTCGCACCAGAGTGCTTGGCTTTGGGTTTTTCTGGGAGCCGTAGATGGAAGCAGGGACAGAGTATGGTCAGAGCTAGAAAGATCCTTGGGTTGCTGTGTGGGAGCCCAGGGAGGGGACTCTGCTGGGCTGGGGTGGAGGCCGTGGGAAAGGGAGGGGGTGGCTGGGAGAGGCTTCTAGGGCTCTGGATGGGAATGGTGGGCTGAGATGGGAAGGAAGGGAGTTGCGGAGGCCAGTTTGGGGCACCCAGGACGCCACCAGGGGCCAGCACTGCACAGGTGAGATGCTGAGCTCAGAGAAGGCAAGGTTGTGTCCAATGCAGACCCTTAGTTGGAGGAGGAAAGCAGCTCCTCCTTCCCGGTTCAGTTTCCAGCTTCCAAATGACATGGGGGCAGGGGACCCCATGGTACCCTGTAAATGTCAGGAAGGAAGGAGGTAGAGGAAGGAGAGATCAAAGGATTCCGGGGGCGGTGGGGGGGGCGGTGATGTGTAAAGAGGAAGCAAAAGATGGACGGAAGGAAGCAGTCCTTGCCCATCCTGGCTCATCACAGAACACGAGGAGCCTGGATAAGCCCCGTTATCAGCATCTCAGGAGAATGTCACCCTCTGACCCAAGGTTAGGCACGTACTGAGTACTTCCGGAGTCCTCTGCCAGTCCCCTGGGCTAGGCTGATAGTGGACCCGGGACAGGGGACTGCAGAGTCCCCCTGGGCATGTCACTGGGAGGAAGGGAGCAGTCCTGGGAGATGGGGTGAGGGGTCAGTCCCTCCTTGAGTCCCGCCTTCGGTGCAGGGGTTTTCTTCTCCAATGGGGAGCGATGGAGACAGCTGAAAAGATTCACCATGCTGGCGCTGCGGGACCTGGGCATGGGCAAGCCGGAAGGCGAGGAGCTGATCCAGGCCGAGGCCCGGTGTCTGGTGGAGGCATTCCAGGGGACAGAAGGTCAGCAGGGTCGGGTGAGCCTGGGGTCCCCGGCGGCGTGCCCAAGTGTGGGGCACCTTCCGTCTCTGTCTTCCTGTCTCCCCAGGGATCTCAGCGCCCCCCACTGCCACTCACTCTTGGTGCTGCTTTTCTTTCTTGACGTTTCCGTTTTTCTCTCCTGTAAGTCTGTCTGTCTTTCTCTGCCTCTCTCCCTATCCATCTTTTGCAGTCTTTCCCGGTCTCTCTTTCCCTGTCTATTTCTCTGTCTCTCCCTGTCTCTCTCTGTCTGTCTCTTTCCCCTTCTGTTCCTCCATCAGTCTTCCTTCCCCTGTCTGTCTCTCTTGATGCCTGGCTCCTTCTGGTTCAGTCTGGCCCCCTGTCCATCACAGCCCTCCTCCCTGCCTGCCTCCCCCCTCAGGACGGCCGTTTGACCCCTCCCTGCTGCTGGCCCAAGCCACCTCCAACATCATCTGCTCCCTCACCTTCGGCCTCCGCTTCCCCTATGAGGACGAGGAGTTCCAGACCGTGGTCAGGGCAGCTGGTGGTGCCATGCTGGGGGTCAGCTCCCCGTGGGGCCAGGTAAGTGGGTGGGACTCCTCTCCAGCCACCTTTGCCCAAGAACACCCCTCTACGCTGGTGCAGGGCCAGGCCCCATGGGAATAGCTGCCCTTCTCTCCCCCATTTCCCCCCCCCCACCGCAGACCTACGAGATGTTCTCCCGGCTCCTGCAGCACCTGCCGGGCCCCCACACACAGCTCCTCAGTCAGTTGAACATCCTGGCCACCTTCGCCATCCAGCAGGTGCAGCAGCACAAAGGGAACCTGGACACCTCAGGGCCCGCAGGCGACGTTGTGGATGCCTTCCTGCTGAAGATGGCAAAGGTCAGAGAGAGTCAGGGTCGGGCGGGGGTGGGGGGCGCTCCTGAATAGGGCTGGTGGCCAGGCTGAGCTCCACCCTGGCATAGCTGGAATCGATCAGGCCTCCCTCTCTCTCTCCCTCTCCCTTTCTCCCTCTTGCTCTGACCTTAGCCCCCTGTGCAGGCCCCATGCTCAGTGACCTGCCACCTGCAATCCCCATGTCACTGTACCCCACCCCACGACATGTCCAGTATAATCATCTAATTATGAGACCTTGTGATATCAAATTACAGGAATAAAGTCCACTTCCTTCATTCATTAAGAACAATTTATTATTATAAGGAGATTGCAGTGAAGGCTAAGCCTATGGAAATAACTACTTTTGAATTGTCCAGACTCTGGAATTATGGAAGACTTTCCGGGCCACATCCTTGAAATAAATGCGGCCACCCTGTTCGTGAAGAGAGAGAACATTTTTCTTGACCTCGTAGCCCCATTTCCTTCTACTTTCATTTTCTAAATTAAACAAAATTTTTGGAATCGTGGTAAAGCACCCATAACATAAAATTCACCACCTTAACCATCTTTTGGTAAAGACTTTATTTTGTGGGGGACACCTGGGTGGCTCAGTCAGTTAAACGTCTGACTCTTGATTTCGGCTCAGGTCATGATCTCCCCGTCGTGAGATCACTCACTTCGGGCTCTGAGATGATAGCATGGAGCTTGTTTGGGATTCTCTCTCTCTCCCTCTGCCCCACTCACTCACTCTCTTAAAACAAACAGACATAAAGAAAGATTTTATTTTTCAGTAATCTCTCTGTCTACTGTGGGGCTCTAACTTAGCAACCTCTCCACCTTATAACCTCTCGATCAAGAATCACATGGGCCATGGGGCGCCTGGGTGGCTTAGTCGGTTAAGCGTCCGACTTTCGCTTAGGTCATGATCTCACGGTTCGTGGGTTCGAGCCCCGCGTCGGGCTCTGTGCTGACTGCCAGCTCAGAGCC